TTTTACCTTATACGATGAAATAGTTATTTATATTTCCACATGTGTTGTTATCACAAATAGAATGAAGTGACATGTGTTTTTAAACTTTAAATGTTTTATTCATTTTATTTGTTTCTGAACAAAGTGTGCTGAGGAAAACCGTGGTGCGTTCAGGGCCGTGTTCGCCGTGCTACGTGTGGTGCGTTCAGGAGCGTCGTTGTCCCGAGGCTCTCATCACTCTACCACCGCAGCAGCGGCGAGGGCGGCGTCAGAGGCGGCAGCGGAGAGAGCGGAGAAAGCGGAGCCTCCTCTCAGCATCATCATCCTCCTCCTCCTCCGAGCTCCAAGTGTGACGGTGGTCCAGCCGCCTCGTCTTCCTCTCCTCCACCCCCGGACTCACCGCTCTTCTCTGGGATGTCGTCGAGTACCTGGAGGGAGGATTCGCTCCGCGGAGCCGGAGCCAGGGGACGCGTCTCCGGAGCGGAGCGGCGACGGATGCAGGCAGGAGCGGACAAATAAAAATCTGAACATCGCTGGGTGTAGCTGTCTGGCTAATAACGCTGCCAGGCTAACGGAAGCTAGCTCTCCTCCTCCTCTCTCCTCCCTCCTCCTCCTCTCTTGAACGACGCGTGTGAGTCTTCTCCTCCGTGATGAACTGACCATAAACACTTTATTAAACCCCCCGGGGGGACACGCTGGAGGCGGCGGGGACATTTCTCTCAAGGATAACGCACCGTGGCCGTGTGCTAGCATCCCGAAGCTAAACCGCGAGCATCGGTCACCGTCATCTGTTTTTGTCCTCCCTCTCGTTATTTTCCTCCCCGATCCGTGAAGAAGAAGAGGAGGAAGAAGAAGAAGAAGAAGAAGAAGATGGTGCCAGAGGAGGAGTGTGTGTGACGGTGCACGGATACACGATCCATGAAGGTCATGATACTGAGAGAATGATCATGCTGGAAAAACAGGTACGAGACACACACCTGAGGACACCCGCACTGATCTGTGATCAGCGGGGATCGATCGCTGCAGGTGATCGGTGTTTTTCTGCTCATGACCCTGATGCTCTCTCTCTGTCTCTCTCTCTCTCTCTCTCTCTGTCTCTCTCTCTCTCTCTCTCTCTCTCTCTGTCTCTCTCTCTCTCTCTCTCTCTGTCTCTGTCTCTCTCTCTGTCTCTCTCTCTGTCTGTCTCTCTCTCTGTCTCTGGCCTGTTCCAGTCAACCTCTCTTCACCATCAACACCAGCTGCTCTATAATCCAGAGCAAAGCTGCAGGAATCACAGAGCATCGTCAATCCATCAGAATCGTTGTTGACGAGTTGATTAGTAATTTGATAGTTCTCTTAATTGATGTCACTGTTACCGGTGAGTGTGGTGAAGTGTATGTCCACCAGAGCTGGAATGACAAAAATCTACAATTTCATTATTAATTTATTCACCAGATATGTAATCTCAATTGCTCAGGATCTTAAAAAACATGAATCATGTTTATTGATTATGTTTGACAAATTATTTTGTCTTAAAATGGCAAATTTCTCAAGTGATGTTTTCATTTTCTTATTTTCTTCGACCACCAACATCAAAAAAATCCAGGTTGGTTTAGTTTTACGCTATAAAACGTATAAGACGTGTTTAAAATTGTAAATTCTTTAGTTTTCCTCGTGCTGTGGTTTGATTTAAACGATCAGATGAAAACGTCGCTTGTGAAGAAGATGTATAATCTATGATTAAAAAAAAAGTATGGGTAAAATATTGGAATCAAAATGTATATGTGCTGTCACACAATATATTACAGTATCTCGACCAGTGATATGAAATATCTCTTATATAATATATTTCTGCCGTTATTAAATTACGGCATAAACTTTAATATATTATGATAAATGAGAACTGCAGCAATTTCTCAATCAACAAAAAAATGTATCTGCAAATATTTAAAAGCACAAATATGAACTGGATCCAGTTTAATAAAAGAGTCGTGTGTGATAGAACACGAGACTTTTAGGAAGTAAACTTCAGTCAGAAGTGTCCTCTGTCAAAGAACTTTGTGTGTGTGTGTGTGTGTGTTCCTCTTGTTTGCTCCCCGAGAAGCATCAACGCCACAGTGTTGAGTTTGAGCGTTTTCAGATTCCAGCCGATGATTCTTGGTTGGTTGTGTGGTTTCCTTGGTAACGACTGGGTCGGCTATTCCACCAGTCGCACAACAGGAACTTCATCCATTACAGTCAGATGAATTGTTTATTGATTGTTTCTCTGTGCGTTCGTGTGAATGTGGCCACGACTTGTTGTCATTCGAGTTTAAAATAAAGAAAGAAAGAAGAAGAAGAAATGCATCCATCAGTTTCCTGCTGCATATCCACATTCGGGTCATTTAACTCATTTAACGACATTGATCAGAAAGTAAACACGACGTGTCGCAGGTCAGAGCTGAGATTTGTGTTTGTGAGGCGAGCAGGACGAGAGCTGCTGCTTTGGGATGTGGAGAATTCCCACTGCCTGGGTTTAAAGGGACTGTTAAACCACACACACACACACACACACACACACACACACACACACACACACACACACACACACAGAATTTTGCAGCTATGCTTACCAGCCTCATTAGGACCTGGCTTTGGTCCCTATGAGGTCTACTGGTCCTGATAAAATCAGTGTTTATACTGGAATAGGTCCTGAGGAGGTAGCAAACACACACACACACACACACACACACACGGCCAGTGAAACAACCCTTTCTCTTCTTTTCTCTTCCACGTAGAAAGTTTCCTCTCGCTGGTGTTACTGATGTTCATCCTCTTCAGAGACGTGCATCTGTGCGTTTTTTTTTTTTACCCACTGTTCGAGTTCGAGATAAGGCTGCAAGCGCGGCGCTCCAGAAACCGCTCTGTTCTTGAAGCTTGACTTCACTCCAAGCACATCTGACCTCTTTGTCTGATGGAATGTGACAAGAATAAGACATTTTTTCCTCCAGTTCTCGGTCCAGGGCTTTCTCTTTCTTCTCCGCAGGGTTAGTTGTGTATGTGGACGAAGAACCCGTCCTTGACATCTTGTGTACTTTGTATGAAAAGTGTTGCGAAGTGCAGAGGCGGTGATAAGACCTGTGGCAGGAGTGTTTTTGCTGTCAGACTGTTTTTCTCCTCAGCTCCTGATCAGAAAACATACATTTGTTTTTCTGCTCTTTAAAGCCGACTGCCCACATTTGTAATTTCAAAGTGACTGGATCAGGTTTGTGTGTGTGTGTGTGTGTGTGTGGACACTAATCATTTGCAGACGCGTTCGTGCTGACACAAGGAAAGTTTTCCACCCTGAGTCTCCGCAGGACAGAAACATGAAGTCTGGCTGCGGCTCATTCTGATTTTCTTCCCCCCAGTTTTTAAGATGTTTTTCCTTCCTGCTCTTAAAACGTAACACGTGACGTCTGATCACAGTTCAATCACCTGCAGATTTTTCATATTTCTTGTTGGAGATTAGTTTAAAATCTCCCCGAACAGCATTTGATCACACGCTTAGAATAAATTGTTGTAACAGCAACATCCCTGTGGGACGCCAATCCCCACTCAGTTTTCCCTTCTGTGTTTGGTCTTCACCACCTCTTGAGATTATTTTATTTCCTCCGTAGCAGTTAGATCAGTTCACTGGCTGCTCTTAAACTGTGTCTTTGCTGCTGAGAGGGTTGTGAACAATGAGCTGAAACTCTGACGTGCTGCAGTTTCAGCTGATCGTTCTCCGCAGGTTCACGAAAAACAGCTGACCTCATGATTAATGACAACATGATAACATCTTCGCGGCAGAAGTTAAGAACACCGGGGATGCTTTTAAAACATCACTTTAAACTTTTGAACTCTGAAACTTTGAGGGCGGTCTCTCCACTGAACGCTGCGTTCCAGTGGAACAAAAGCAACCAGCTGTGCTGACAAAAACACAAGATAACATCTGAGCTCAGCAAACACAGAATTGCACGGTTGAACAAATTCTGAAAAAGATTGTTGAATAGTGTGAATCCCTGAGTGAACGAGCCCGGAGCCTCGTGTTGATTATACAAGATACAATCCGTCTGCAGCTTCCTGTGTCGTGGCCGACTCTCAGATCGGACTCTGAGATCGGACTCTTCCCTCTGTTGCATGTCGAGCTGTAAGTAGTTTTGGACGTGCAGTCACATCATCATCGTCTTAAAGGAGCTTATAAACAGAGAAGATGATAGAGAGAGCCACAATGACATGTTTACAGTTTGAAGTCACGTGTCGCAGGCGCCTCGTGTACCTGCACCTCCCGTTCTGCTTTTGTCTGAGTCCGCAGGAAGCCGACCTGCGGGTTACAGTCTGATTTCCTGTCCTGGCTCGGCATCTTAGAGGAGGGAGGAGGAGGAGGAGGAGAGGAGGGGGAGAGGGAGAGGGGGGGGGGTCGGTCTTATTTAGCCCTATGAAGAGCCGGCTTTTCCTCCCAGTTTCCATGGCGACCGCTCTCCTACAGTATTCAGACGTGGGACGGCCTCTGCATCTGAAAGCAGTTCCCAGTGGTGTTTCAGACCCTCTTGCTCTTTTTCCTTCAGCCTCGCTCGTCTTCCCCCACTGTCTCGGTTTTTCAAAAGCAGCAGCGCTTCGTCTCCAGCGCCGCTGTACTGTATAAAAAAGTAAAAATGGTCGAACACCATTTGCATCTGAATCAGGGCTGAGTTATGCCTTTGTTTCCTGTTTAAATTCCCCAAGTCTACAGGCTGAGACTTGAAGCCAGAACAGGCTTTGAGATATTTAGACGGCCCATCCTGTAAATATATAAACATTAGACGAGTGAGGAAGGACTGAGCATTGTGCTCTTTGTGTATTCAGCCGGATCGTTTGAGTTTTATTTTGTGTATTTCCCCCAAAGACACAGTTAATGATTACACAGCATGTATTTTTACTCTGAATTTAGTTTTGTACATGAAGTTGATGAAACTCCAAAATGTCAGACAGAAAGGCCGACGTGTTTGATTGGTGAGATAAAGCAAAACCCCGCAGAGGCTTTTAAAAACAAACTGCAGCTCAGAGGAGACCTTTTATTTTCAGGTCAAAACAAACTTACTTCCTTTCCGTCTCCGTCTCTGGCGTTTGGGGTAAAAGCATGTGACCTACATACTGTACAACAAGGTTGACAGGAAATCATTTCGAGTATTTGAAGGATCCCTCAAATTTAAGCTGCAAAGAGAAAAAAGCAAAATGCCAGTAGATCCAAATCGGTTGTGCTGCTGCGGGGGGGGGGGGAATCCCTCACCTACACACAGCGGAAAAAACAAAGTAACTCACACTGAGAATCTTCAGTCGACGATGGTTAAAGATGGTTTCTGTTATTTTAGTTGTTTTTTTTTTTAATCGCTCTGACGTTTGTGTTCACGTGTCCGATGACAGCCGAGAGAGACATCGTGGCGATGGCGTTTATATTCAGGATGTGATGCTCACGTGAATTGACGGCTCGGCAGCCACGATCACTCTGACGCCAAATGATGTCATCGGCACAAGATGACATTTGTATCCAAGATATTTTGGCTTCGCCTCTAGTGGGAGGAAGAGACGTGGGTTGTTTTTTTTTTTCGTCTTCCGTGATATATATCATTAGTAGGCGTGCATTGTGGGAAAAAAGTGGGCCATCGCGATGTCAGATGTCGAGACTGCTGATGAGGTGTTTCTGTTTTCAGGGTTTTCTGTTTCCACAGACGCCTTTTTGAATTAGCTGAATTTTTACGTCGACGAAAAAACCTTTAGACGCGTGAGAGGAAAGAAACACAGACATCACATGTGACCTTTCAGTTAGCGTGGACAGCGATAGCCGAGACGTAGCTCAAGAGATGGAGGACGAGTGTTTCCCTTCATCGTCCCAGCAGATATTCAGAAGAAAAACGAAAAACAATTTTCATATGAGGGTTCTGGTAACCTGCCAGAAGTGTCTTCACATTCATCAGCAGCGGTAAGGAGAGGGGAGATTCATACG